TGCGGTTACAGTGAGAGAGATATATAGACTGTAAATTTTCTTCGATTCAACGACGAAGAGAGGGAGGAGACAGAGAAAGAAAAAAAAATCGAAGAACAATGATGCTGAGGAAAATTGGATAATTTCTGTTAAATGTTAAAGGTTATGATGAAATAGTTTTGTATATGAAGGATTGTTATAGAAATAATTTAGATGTAAGGACTTAAAGATAAATAGAATTGTAAATTTATAATTTTTTTTAATTTTTAATGACATAAGGGTATTATAGGTTTTTTACAAGTACAAGGAGGTACGAGGTTGGTGCGAGTGTGGTACGAGGCAAAAAAGAATTTTCGTTACCTCGTACCAACCTCGTACCTTAATCTAATGGTTCAAATTGATTTTAAGTCAATCTAAAGGTGATATAAAGAGGGTACCTAATGTTAGGTAGGTACGAAGGGTACCTGACAATAGACGATCCCAACTAATAAGCCCTTGTTTCTTTTTGAGACTTGAAAAGTAAATACTCCCTATACCCTATTCATTTGTTCCGTCTGTTTCTTTTTGAGACGTGAAGTCGTGAACTATTTAGGCAATTAGGCATGAAAATGAGTCGAACCGAGCTCCAGCTTAGGGTGCGAGAATCTTTAACGAGCCGAGCAGAGACGAACTATTAAATAAACGAGCCAAAAATCGAGCTCGAGCCTTAACGAATCGTCTCGAGTTTTAACGAGCCAAATTATAGAAAATTATATAAAAATTATCTTTTGGAGCCTTAACGATCCTTATCGAGGCGAGCTTAACCAAGCGAGCTTTAAATGAGCTCGAGCTCATCTCGTTAAGACCTCGAACTCGAGCCTTAACAAGCCGAGTTCGAACCGAGCTGAACCGAGCCATACTCGTTTAAGTTAACAACACTCAAAATATATTATAGAAAAGAAGTACAAGTAGTTTAGGCTAAAAAAGAAATCAAATCTATATGAATAAGTAGAGCTCATGCGGCTGGCACAAAATGATACCATTTGAAAATACGATCACCGAGTTGAATGAAACGATAGACAAGACACTACATGGCACGATCTGAAAAACACAACACGGAAGAAACAAAATAAAAAAAAAATAGTTAAATTTAGACTCATTGTCATATTTATGATAAAACAAAATAGATAACAAGAAAGTAAGACAACAAAGCACATACACGGCACATTTCATGAAATCAACATGTGATTGTGAATAGAATAACATGTGCAGTTAAAACAGAATAATATCAATGGTAATGATAAAAGTTTGACCCTTGAGGGGTAAATTTGCAATAGTACAATCTTCTAAATTTACAAAAATGCTAGAAGCACCCCAGAGTCACCAAACATCCCAGCCACCTAATAAGCTCTCTTACTGGATGTAATACAAGCAAACACATGATAAAATATATGGAAATCTTTAAAATTTAATTTTCCAGCTTATTATTGAGAATCACACAACACTTAAATATGCATGAACTTACTGATATTATGGTCTGATGCCCATCTAAAACCAGGTTTCTTGACCTTTACGTCAACAAGGGTCAACTAAGGATGCAAAATTTGAGTCTCAGATGACAAACATTTGTGAAAAAATTAACCTCCATAACGATGTTTTAGCTGCTCGGGAGGCTGCTCCTCCATTATGCCCGAACCTGATGTTGCTAAGTACCCGCGAATGCTTGTTTTACGGTCACAAAGAAACGTATGATCCAGGAAATTTTCATATGCTTCTTCACTTAAATTTTTTGCTGCCAACACACTGCAGTGTTTTTCGGGTACGCCATTAGCTCACGGCTGTGGCAATGGCAATATTTGCCGACAAAAAGTGTTGTGCGTGCTATGTGACAACCGGGGTTTGTTTAAAAAAAAAATGAGTAATTAGTCTAATTAGAAAAAGAAAAATGCCAGTAAACTACAAATACCCCAGATAATTGTTCCTATTTGACAATTATGCAATTTGCAAAAGTAAACCTTAGGGTGGTGGGCGTTTGTAAGTTCGAAATAAAAATAGAAAGCAACCGTTCCCTCCACGCAACCAAGATAAACTTGTCCAAACAAAACCTCATACAGATTAGAAAACATTTGAAAATTGTTGGAATGTTTTTTTTTTTTTCGATGTTACCCTTGCCACAAATTCAATGAAAAGTTTGTTTACCCTGAAAACCAGCCTATGTTAGTGGGACACTAGATGTAAGGAGTAATGCCTTTTGGTGATTAGGTCAAAACCTCAAGGATGTTTTAGTGATTAACCGTATAAACAGTGGTCAACAGTATGGATTAGATACTCACCAATGGCGAAGATAAACACGACAGGGTAAGATGTCATCCAACCAAATCTTGTCGATGCCAAATCGCCCATACCGTTGAAAGAATATCTCTTTACTGCCTGCCACCAAAATATGCAAACAATAGGTAATGGAAAATGTTCTTGTGCATGCATTTTAAATAGAAGGGGTTGTCAGTAAAGAGCCCAAGCCAAACCAATGATGACAAGAAATTCCATAATGCCAAATTCTACAGGTTTTAAATGATAATTAGATTTAAAGTCTTTTACATCCATAGTTTGGTAATCTTAAATATTCCTAGAAATTATCTATGAGAATGAAGAAGTTAGCAAATCACCTTTACATCTGTTCAAGAAATACTCTTCATCACTATAACGTGCACATAGTACCTGCATGAATGTCCAGGATTATCTTCTTTAGAAAACCATTAATGAGATGGTCAAATGTTACAGAAGAAAAAAAATTAATTTCATCAAGCTCACCGATGGAGTTGTGTAAAGCAACCCATTAAATGTTTCGGGAATCACCTAACATAAACAAATTCACACATACCATGTCAATCAAGAACGTGCCTTTTCAGAGTAAATAATATAATTTCTAAAAAATTAATATAATGCTGCAACTCACTGCTAAAAACCGGAATTCATGCTCCTTCTCTATAAAAGAGGGTATCTGCAATAAATAGGACGAAACCAAAGTTAAAATCAGTTACTCAAATTCAAAGTTGAACTTAAGTAGCAAAGGCAAATTAGTGTGTACCTCTGATCTTTGTATCTCAAAAGTGGTAACTACAAGAGTTTCATCTTCACAGGGTTCCACGCTCAAGCTTGATGTCTCCTGATGTGTAGTGTAAACAACTATAACATCAGTAACTAAAAGTACATTAGTTCTCTGATAATCTATTATACACACATCATGGCATTTGAATAACTACAGAAGAAAAAAGATCCCAACTAATGCAACTACCAAACACACGTAAACACATAGATGTCCTACTAAATTTCATTTATTTTCCGGCAAAAATCCCAAAATGCCAATGGGGAAAGGCGGTAAATCAACGTTAGAAATCCATAATATTTCAACAATATTATGCGGTTCATAACTAATTAATCAATACAATCAAACTCACACCAGTAAGAACACATTATTCAGCAGAAATGCAGCCTCAAAACACCACAATTAGTTAGCTTCACGTACACACACGTGAATTATGGCATATATAAGCAGGAAATCAAAATCTGCACCTTGGTTTCAGGCTTAGCTATTCCACGTTCAAAGAAAATAGGAGCAACGTGGGAAAACACTCTCCGAAACCCATTTAATTTTGCAGCTCTAAAGTTTATCAAATCTGGGAAAGTACTCCTTGCACTCCTTTCTGCAGATGACCTCAAAGCAATATATCAAAAGGAATAAAGAACATAAAAAGAGTGACCAAATAAGTAAAAGGAGCATCAAACACAGGCGATCGGACTACACATTTCAACCAAAAACTATATAGAAAATGAAGATAACCCATCATTGCCCACAGAATTCACTACAAGCACTCCTAAGCAAATGACTATTCAAGTTTTAACAAGTGAATTTTGAAGAGGAAAGCAACTTTTTCGAGCGGCATTATCGATTTTCATCATATAGAACAAACGGAATGGGGGGAAAAGGGTTAGAACGAACAATAACAACAAAGTGATCGATTGCACGAACCGGAGAGAAGGGAACCGAAGCCACAGATAGAAACCAGTCCATCGGGGGAGACGATTCGATCGAAGTCGGACTCAGCTTTGAGCTCGAAAGGCAGAGCATCCAGCGGGGGAGGCGTCTGCGGCCGATGCGAATCTCCGACGGAGACGGACATGGCTGAGCTACGACGGCGGAAGGTCTGGAGAAGTGGCGGCGGGAGGACGGCAAGTGGAGGGCAATTTAAAGTGCGGGGGCACGTGCGGGGCACGCGAGGATAACAATTATAGGTGGTTGTGAGAGACATGTGGAAAATGAGCAACAGTGGAGACTGAGCTCATTGGGAGAGTCGGAATTGAGAAGACGCATAAACATGTTACATGTGTGCCTATATAAGGATAGTACCCTATTTGTGTGGGTGTGTGTGAGCAATTTATATATTTGTTAATAAAAAAATAATAAGTGGACAAAAAATAGAAAAAAAAAGGGGGGAGTGGACCAACATAAAAAGCACGTATTTACAAAATACGCTTTCTGTATAATTTATTAAAAAAACGTATTCACTGAATACGTTTTTCACATTTTTTTACAAAGGAAAACATATTCACGGAATACGTTTTCCAAATATTTTTTTCAAAAGCCGTATTCAAGGAATACGTGTTTTTTATTCATTTCCACCTCTTTTTTTCTTTTTTTTTTTTT